ACAACTTGCAGAAGTTCTAGTCATTTTAACATCTTTCGATGAGGCTTTATTTACAGGGGTACTGGTATCTAAATCAGTTCCTAGTTCCATTGGCAGGTGTGGTTGTTGTGTAGTTTGCTGAATGCTAGTTTCAGCACTAGGTGTCTGTTGCTGTGCACGATCCTTATTTGGTAAATCAAAGCTAGAGGAGGTGACCAGGTTATTACTACGCATTATTCTGCGCTGACACGGTGTTTTATCCTGAGCTACGGTTATAGACTTATAACTGCTATTCAGTCTTAAGTGATCCTGACATTTAGTAAACTTACTAGCATCAAGGGAATTACTGAATTTAAAAATGATTGGGTAATTAGCCTGGTTAGACTATCACCAATGATATTCCTAATTGTGGTGGACTGGATTATGCGTCAGACTGTGGGAAATGAGAAGACAGGAATATCCTGGACCGACGTGAAGAACCTAGAAGACCTGGATTTCGCGCGTGGATGATTTATGTTTGATGTCACACACAATCGAAGACTTACAAGCGAAAACCGACAAACTGGTCGAAGAAGCAGCAAAGACAGGACTCCAGGTAAACATAGACAAGACGGAGGTTATGAAAATAACCAACCAACAACAACAGCAGCAACAACATCCGACGACAATCACCATCAACGGGAGGGATTTGAAAGAGGTTACTTCATTAACTTATCTAGTATCGAGCATTGTCTCAATTATACTCAGTCGGAACGGACTAGGATGTCAAATCGAGCGAGAATCGGGAAGGCGAGAAACACATTCATCAACCTGAAGCCAATCTGGAAATCTTCGTCACCCAGCACCACCAACAAAATTCGGATTTTCAATACAAACGTAAGGTCAGTTCTTCAGTACGGATCAGAAACTTGGCGGGTCACAAAGAATATTTCCAACAGCCTGTTGCAGACCTTTATTAACAACTGTCTTCGCTGGCTCTATACTGAAGATCAGATGGCCGGAAAGAATCACCAACAAGGAATTATGGGAACAAACAAAGCAAGAACCAATCGCCCAACAAATATGCACGAGAAAGTGGAGATGGATCGGACACTCGCTGAGGAGACCGCTGGGTGACATTTTTCGTCAAGCCCTCGAGTGAAACTCGAAAGGGAATCGGCGTGTGGGACGTCCAAGGGTGACATGGAGGAGATCGTGTGAAAAGGAGTCGAAAGAATATGGACTAACATGGATGCAGGCGAAAACTACAGTAGAAGGAAGACAGAAGCGGCAAGTGGAGACGTGCAGTTGAAGCCCACTGCCGTATGTTCCACTAGAAACCCAAGGGAGCAATAATAATAATAATACAGGATGAAGGTATTGAGCCAAAGTTTTATGATATTCTGAAACTGGTAAACGATAGTGCCACAGAAGAGAGTTACAGTTTCAAAGTGCAGTTCTGACTCTACAAGTTTACAAGGTATAACTAGTCAGAGTGAAGCTATAAAACCTTTAAGGATTTGTGAGGAGGAACCAAAATTGTCTACTTCTGTTATTAAAGAGTTTGAAAATGATGAAGTTGACGGTAAAGTGAATATTCGTGATAATGATCATGATAGTGCACAGTTGTCTTTGGTTGATCATGATGAAATGAGGAGAATGCCTACTACTGCTGAGTTGAACAAAGGTTCTGCACTACTTGAACGTGATGTAGAATTGAATGCAGATGCAGTTGCAGAAGTTATGGATACTTGTGAGACCGTCAGTGTAATTGATTAGCGTGTAGCCCACCTATCATCAGACGCTAATGCTAAACTGGAGCTAATATTAAGAGACAGAAGTGGTGTTATTCATACAGTTAGACAACATTCTGAAAGGCGAACAACAACAGCTTCTGACACACCGCTAAGTTCATCAACTGGTATCAGTCAGTCGTCGTTTAATAAAAAAACTACTCAACATGATTTCAAACTCTCTTACAAACCGTAAATAGTCAGCTGGGTTTCCGTCGAAACACCGAGGTTCATGCTTAGGGAGTTTGATAATCCTACTATCCCTAGACGGCGAAACAGTGACATCAACGGTACGTTCGACGTTTGCGTTACATTTTCACGTGATTCTTTACATAAAATGTATCGTGTTGTAATACTTGCACAAGTACTCTACTACTTCCATACTTGTAACCATAAACTCTCATTTCTAATAGTTATGGTTAGTCAAAGTAAAAAGCAACGAACCCAATCCCCTGTAAAACTGGTGTCCAATTTAACGTCCCTGACTGCTACATCAAGCAACAACCCCCCCTACAAACGGCTATAGTGAGTCACATAACTCACTTGTATGCCGTAAGCGTCGAGCTGGAACTGAGGATAAAACTGTACTGACAGCTAGTATTAGCACTACTCCTAAAAATTCAGTACCCTCTGCTCACACAGAACTCCTCCCTTCACCTTATGTGCTTATCGAAAAACTCCAGCCATCAAGCTCTTTTTCAGTACTATCTTCAGAAATAGAACTTCTAAAGTTGTCTATAGGAGAACTTAAGGTTGAGTTAAGGGAAATAAAAAACAGTAAGTCAGTAAATGCTGGAAACATCGAAACCAATACCGAGATATCCAAATTATCAGATCTGATCAGCGATATCAGATCGCATGTCTGTGAACTGACACCTCTAACTATCCTCATGAAAACTGTAAATCTTAACAAGCTTGACACAGAATCGGTAACTAAGGTAGATAACCTCATTAACTTTGTTACCACAGAAGTAACGAAACGACTCGACGCAAAACTGAGTGCTATTGTCTACAACGTTCCGGACAATGAGGCACTAAAAAAGGTACAGCGCATCTTACCTAGTGAGGCGAAAATGCCTAACTCCAAGACTAAGTGCTATAGGCTGAAGAAGAGTCAACATGAAAAGTGTTGTCCTATTCGTTTTCAGTTCGAAACTCCGGCAGAGACCAGAAAATTCACCCACTCCCAACACACCCTATCGCAAGCCAGAAACTACAAACATATAAAGGTCGGGGTGGACAAAACAGTCATAGAAAGGCGCGCATACAATTATCTCGCTAAGACTAATTGTGAAATAGGTAATAGGACATTGCAAGCAGCCATAATTCCCAACCCTATGAAAGATACAGTAGATCCCACCGCATCACCCTTCTCAAAACACACAGAAATATCCCATCAGAGTGCAACACCAGCTGAAAGGCCACTAGACTGTGACCAAATATATAATAAAACCATACCACCTATCACCGCAGAATCTAAAATGCCACTAAATAACCCCAGAAAAAAGTCAAAACCCCCGAAATTCGACATTGTCCTCTCCTAGCCATAACTCCATTGCTAAAGATAGGGAAAATATGTCCCTAAATCATGCCAACAAAAACAATGGCACTAAAAATAAGCCCAAACTTCCCACGGTCAATAGTATTCGCACTCACAGCGTGCTAAATCGCACCATGGCACACACTAATATCCAATGTCACAACAATGTCACCCTCAATAGTACAAGTGGTAATAGTCAGAACTCGGCTACCAACAACTCAGGGTCTTCAGAGTATGGCACACAAACAAATTTCGACCGGATATATGGTACAAGTCTGCTGGGAACTAACCCACAATGCAGTACACATGAAACCCACACAAGGACACAACTAGCATCAAACAATAGGTGGAATAATAAGCCATGGTCATCACAAGGATCCAACCATTTTTTATCCCCCGCGTCCCTGTCAGCGTTGAAAAAACAGCTGGTAGGGATGTTAACACTCCTAAACCACTAGTGCTGGCTCCCTCCTTGCATGAAAACAGGAACGGTCTTGTGCACCCGTATCCATTAGGCACACTTGACACTTGCACAAGTATAGGTCAAATAAAGAACCCTACCCTTTTCTGTAACCTAACTAAAAATAAAAATTCCTTAGTCTATAGCAAATCCAGTACTCCAACTCCTAATTCTTCACCGAAAACAGCACACACCAACTCGATAGACATAGGTGAGCATGATGCTGAAACCCCTCTTAACATAGGATCGTCATGTCCGGCAGAACTACTGGGTGCTGAACCATATTCGGGGCTGACTAACGAACTTAAATACTTCAAATGCTATTTCAACTCTCATCTTTACCTAATCCTCATAAATGCTAGATCTGTTCTAAATAAATTGCCGATGCTCAGAGCACTCACAGTAATATACAAACCCCCTGTAATTGTCATCACTGAATCTTGGTGTCATTCGAACATCCTGGATGAGGAAATAAGCTTAGATAACTACACACACTTTCGGTGTGACAGGGAAGGTGGTAAGGGAGAGGGTTGTCTCATGTACTTTCTGAATGCACTTACTGTATCACAGCTAGAGAGTAGTACACTTAACATGCCTGAGACTCTATGGGTTAATGTACACTTAAATAACATAACAGCATTAATTTGATGCACCTACAGAGCACCTGGCACCTTTAGTAATTACGAGACCCAATTTATTAATACTCTGGAGCAATTATTCGACTTACAATACGATCATAAGATCCTATGTGGGGACTTTAACTTACCTGAAATCAGCTGGGATATGCCCACAGGCCCAACTAAATTTGATAAGTTCTTAGATACACTGGATATACTTGGCTGGAAACAAACTGTCACTACTCCCACAAGAGGTAATAACGTACTAGACTTAATCTTCTGCCACGATACAAGCCCCCTTTCAACGCTAGTAGGTTCTGAGTTTCCAGGGAGCGACCACAAAACAGTGATGTGTGCACTGCCAATTCCGCTGAGTAGCAATGCATCTCATACCTCCACCTCACAACAAGTAATATATAGGAACTATAGTAGGGCAAACTGGGCCTTAGTAAAATCAGTGCTAGGATTCTGTAATTTTATTTCTGTAACAGAAACCAGCCATTTTTACAGGCATGAACATATGTACACTTATGAGAACTTATAGAATATATAATTTGTTAATTTAGAAATAAGTTGAATACTGGTAAATGTGAGAGAAACATTTAAAATGAAGTGTACAAATAAGGAAATAGATATAGCGTCAAATCTAAACTGTGACTGAAAAAAATACATGTCAATTTCACGCGGGAATCATAAATGATTGCGTTAGTTGGGAAGGTAAGTAGCATTTCTGTACAGATGCTGACGTGGTACATAAGAGATGCAGAATAAACAATAATTATCAGTAAATCATTCAGAAAGAGTTTTAAAGTCTATTAAATTTTATATTCACCTGTAAGTACATCATATTTGTGACATTTCCAGTTGTTTATGAGACCCACTTTGAACTTGTCAGCAGATTTTATAATACCGATGATCCCGTTATTCACTAGATGAGCTAGCAATATCACGAATAAGTAGAGAATTGCAGCGCTGTATCAGTACCTTCGTTGAAAGCAGTATCTTTGAAAAGAGAAGAAGACACAAGAAAACCGACAGAGAGGTGCAGAAGTATATAAAAGGTGTTAATAATTCAAAATATATAACAGGCATGGGGTTCATCATTTTTTATTGTTTTTTTCAAGAAATATTTTCCCGATATTTTACAGTCTTTTCTGCGAACAATTAGTTTGAAGTGAAAGACAGGGATAATTTCACCTACTTACGAGGTTTAAAAGGAATTAAACACAAAAGTCAGAGTGCGTGAGCTATGTAAAAGAAAAGCAAGGGCCTAGTAATATATGTTTTTCTGGAGTATACAGTCCGGTGTCCTTCTGAAGTAGCGGACTTATACCATTTACTTTCATTCGGGAGTTTGCGTTTAAACTTCGGCTCTAGGCAATTTTCAACTTCTATTTCCTTTTTCATTATTTTTTTTAGTTTTTACTTTTTTATTTATTTTCATTTTGCAGAAGCCATTCGAACTCAGGAGCCTTAGCAATAGAGTGCTGTCCCACAGATAAGGGTGGTTCACATATGTCCCCACCATCATATCCGCTGACTAGCAGTCACCACCCTCCCACCACCATCGATGCTAAGATCCTCCGAATGGGATAAATACTTCACTACTGATGACCTATCGAGAGCTCTAACCACCTTCTACCATAACTCTAACGCATGCTTAGATGCTGTCATTCCACTTCAAACACTAAAGTTTTCCCCACACAGAAAGTCATTCATAAAACCAAAGGATCGTATGAAACTGAAGAGACTCTCAACAAGTTACTTCAAACACCACGACTTTGGCACTCTAGGTCTAATACTTAACACCCTTAGCTCCATCTCACAAGCTCGAGATTTCCGTATGAGAAACGAAGAACGCATCGCAGTAGCCAGTCCTGTTAGAGTGTATGCACTCACAGAAATCTTAAGGAAGCGAATGAATCGCAAAAATCACAGCATTTCTCTCCTCATAGACAAAGGTAGGCTATGCACTAACCCTGAAGACATATGTGAACTATCCAGCAAAACGTTTGCAGGTAACTATCTTAAGCCCTCAGTCCAGCTACTCGATATACACCCTATTACTAATATAGCACAAACTCCATCTCCACTCACACCAAACCAAATTACCACTGTTGAATTCAATTACACTAATATTAACCAAACTATAAGAACCCTCAAAAGTTTAAAAGATTTCGGCACCGACGGTATATCATCTTATTTCTATAAATATGGTGGCCCTGACATTCCTCTACTGCTTCTTAAAATATTCACAATGTCCCTAGAAACTCAAAATTACCCTGACATATGGAAGACAACATTCATTATGCCTAAACACAAATCTGGCTCGAAAACTGAAGTCAGTAACTACCGGCCGATCAGTATCGCACCTATAGCATCTAGAATTATGGAGAGACTAGTTAAAGATAACTTAATCAAACATATGCTTAGCTGTAATATTATAAGTCCGAACCAACATGGATCACCCCCACTGTTTTATTTGTCTCTCCTCCTTGGTGATCGGATTCCCTTGACCATGTTCTATTGGTTTCATCGTCTGGCTTGATCTCTTCCCGGATGGAGACTCGGTTACCTCATACAATGTTCTGAGATCTCTTATTAATATATGTGTAAAACTTGGGCACTGTGGTATTAAGTAATTCCATATTAGTTTGATTATTAAATGTATCACACAGTGAAACAGTATTGTATACTGGATGACGTTTCGAACACAATTTATTGTTCATAATCATATCAATTTTGGTCACACGACTTCGAGATTTGATTTTTATAGTTTTCTCTGTCTTCTCCTATTTGTTGTATGGGCAGTAGAATTTTCCATATATCTGGGACAGGTGTTGAATCATTCCTATTACATGCATCTCCAGTTGATTTGATAAACAAAGCTTCCGTTATCAATCTCTCCCTCCACCCTGTGACATTAGATTTCAAAACTGTCATCCTATCCCATCATCCTATTGTATGGTTGTATGCAACTGCATGTAGTGCTATAGCTGAACTATTCTCTAGATTTCTTATCTAAGGATAGGATGACAGTTTTGAAATCTAATGTCACAGGGTATAGGGAGAGATTGATAACAGAAGCCTTGTTTATCAAATCAACTGCAGATACATGTAATAGGAATGATTCAACACCTGTCCCAGATATATGGAAAATTCTACTGCCCATACAACAAATAGGAGAAGACAGAGAAAACTATAAAAATCAAATCTCGAAGTCGTGTGACAAAAATTGATATGATTATGAACAATAAATTGTGTTTGAAACGTCATCCAGTATACAATACTGTTTCACTGTGTGATACATTTAATAATCAAACTAATATGGAAGTTCTGAGATCTCTTTCGTCTACGGCTTGTTGTGCTTCAGTTGCCACCAGCCAATGTGTCACAGCATTGTCTTATATCTTATTTAGCACTCTTCTTTACTGCTTTTTCATTGCAGTGTAGATTGAACTCAGCCTCCTTTTCTGTTTTGCATTTTCACATACTTTCTCTTTCTGGTATTCTGCTGCTCCTATTCATCTTCTGGTCGAGGTCAAACAACCCTGCATCTTAACTGAAATGAAGGTTAATTCTAAACCATTTATCTCATAACCACTCAAATTCCATGAACGATCCAATTCTACCATTTGAAGACGCTGGCGAACATGCTGTAAATGAGTATTCATGATCTGAAGTGAAGAAGCAACTGGTTTTCAAACAGTTTTCAACATTTTACTCAACTTACGAATACAGTCCGCCATGCAGACACAAATGGAGCAAATGGAGAATTCTGGAATCGACCTCGGCACCATTTGATGCAGTAAAACAACTAAACATGACCTTACCTAGTTTTCGCATCCACGATCAAATTTCTTTCCTGTTATAAAACTACGATAAGACTGCTGAAAAATGGAACAAATATATCACTGATCTCAACATAATACATCGATAAACTTTAAGCCACGGGTGCTGTTCACAACAAAGTTATATAGGAGAATTGACTTCAAGCTTTATTTTTCCCAGATATCTGTATTACATTCATCTGATATCTGGGTTTTTTGCTAACGCGAAGACAATATTTCTATATCTCTTTATGTGTTACACAAACAGACTTTATAGTAGACTGTTCCGACTGACTCTCATGTCAGAGAGAACAACCAAACTGTAAATTCATCATACATCAAATTATGTGTAATTTATATAATAACTTATCCATGCATGTACAATTGTTATTTTCCTGCATGAACAGGAAGAAATATATTATTATCTTAACATTCAGTCATCTCTTTCACCATCCTACTCTCCTCTCATCAATAGGCTTCTATGCGTGTGTCCGTTGAGAGCAATTTCTAATCTTGTCTCCAATGTTCTTCCACACAGATCTTCCCGGTGATGCCCTGTTGTGTCTCCAACTTTGCTCAAATGTCTGCAGTCACGGTGTCCCTTGTAATTTTGTCCTTCATTTTCAGAATGCTGAACTTGAATCGTGGCCTGCATAGAAGTTTTCTCAGGCATTGCATCTTCATCTTGTAGGTTCTTAGAGCTAGATGATAGTTTGAGCCCATATCTGCTCCCATTCTCGACTTTGTGTCCAGCAGGATGGCTGCGTCTCCACTTCCTTGGGATTGAGATAAAATCTATCAGGTTTGTGGTGTGTCCGTCAGGCAAGACCCATGTTGCTTTGCGTATATCTTTGTGCTTGTACACGCTGACTCCAATCCCCAAATGATTGAAAGCGCAGAAGTCTGCGAATATTTCACCGTTCTCATCCATGTCTCCGAGAGCTTCTCGACTCTTGATGAGTTCTATTCCTGTATTATCTGCCCGCATTTCGGCGTTTATATCGCCGATGGGGATTTCGATGTCACCATTTAGGATGTTGTCCACTGCAGTGTATTGTTGTCTGTAAATGTCCTTCTTCTTGTCTTGTTCCGCGTTGTTTGTAGCAGTGTGAGCAGCACTGGATAACTGTGACCTTCTTTCCTTTTGAACTGAATCTTGGTGTCATGATCCTGGATGAAATCGTTTCCCACTGCATTAAGACTTCGGCTGCCGATGGTGACATCATCAAAGCCACCCCCTCAGTGTGTTCGTGGTTGACGTCTGGGGGGCCGGAGTAGATTATTAACTTTCCAGTCGACAAATTGGATATTCCACATCCGTTTCATCTGCTCTCGCAGATACCCAGCACTTCTATACCATATCTTCCCATTTCGTTGGCTACTGGGGCAGCCTTCTCAGTCTCGTACATTGTACGGACATTCCACGTCCCCATTCTTACTATATTGTTTTCATCGAGAGAAGATACATCAGTTGACTGGCATCTCGAAGGCTTTGACCAGCCCGCTGAGTCATTTTGCCTCCCTGATTCCAGTGAAGAATATGATCGTTCTTTGACAAATAAATATGACCAGCGTATGAATGGGAATTATAATACTTTAACATAGACTGATTTAGACCATGAAAATTGTAGACGTTGAACAAACTCTTCCTGTACACTGAAGTCTGGCTTTTCTATTCCGATAACCAAAGGCTTCAGCAATGCACATGAGTCAGGTACTAAATGATTTGGGTAAGTTATTTTTCGCCTTGTATATAACTTTAAAGAAAGAGGCTGTAAGAATAAGCCTGCCGGAATCGATCAGATATTCGATTCTTGTGGTTCCACTTCTTCGTAACTATGCAGGAGATAATGTTCTTGCATCATATTAGACAAAAGTTGAATTGAAATTCGTTTATTTAATTCCACATAATTTTCGTAACTTTGTCTTACCAAAATTATCACCATGTTGCACAGTGTTTTAATTGCTTACTGGTCATATTTAATGGACACACACGAAAACCTTGGAGTACCTGGACTTCGCCGATGATAGACGTTTGATTTCTCACAAACTCGAAGATATCTGTCAGCCACGTCTCGTAAACCGTTAATGCCTAGCTCTTGCTACGCTCGGGCTCACGCTGTCGCTTGAAGTTTCTCAGAAACGCTTAGTAATAACGGACGAAAACACCAAAACACCAATTGTTGACTCGAGGATTCTTTATTGTTACACCAACATATAAATGACGTATGACTAAGGTTTCTGACGGTGTTTTACTCTTCTTTCTGAACAGCGACCGATGAGACGATGACTGTCGTATTGATGCCTCCGCGAAAATTGGGGAAGTTGGTTTTGAGCAAACAACCATGAATTGATCGTTCAATCTTCAACTACATTGACACTCCCCGTAAAAAAAGGGATCCAACCCCTTTTTCCCATCACGACCAATACACGTTGACTTGGATGCCATTGCGAGAACCTGGGTCACACGGACAGAGCTGAAATGGAAAACAAACAGAAAAGCCAACACACCACAAGCATACTCACAGCACAATCTCACACATCAATGACGACCTGCGCCTTCCAGTTAAAAGTATCCTCTTGATATCTCGCAACACAATCTCCACTCGCTAGAATGACTCTTGCAGAACGCAACGTGATCATAGCACCACCTCATGATACTCTACGCACATCCTCTTATCTACTCACTACCAATTACCACTGAAATCGCTTGTCACTCATTCTGCCTTAGTTCTAGTGACGGTGACGTGAGCAAGCCTCAGTCCCACACACTCGCTCCCCGGCGTGTGGGACCACAGCTAACAATTATCTCCGTGTGCATTTCATTCTCAGCAATAGCCTCCCCGGCGTATACGACCCATCTGCTGTCCTTAACATCAATCAATTCATTCATGGATGTAGAAGACTAGAAACAACTTCAGAAGTAATCACGACGAAAATTTTAACAAAATTACGCAATAAAAACAAGGTACGAAAACAACGAGTAAACACAATGAATCCAAAAACACCAATTGATATGACACACCACACATATATACAAACAGTACACACAAACTCGCAGATCATGTCTTGATGGAATTCCTTTGAAGAATCGCAGGACTTACAGCAGTACGCCTACAACCCTTCACAGGTTGACGATTGTAATTTGTGGAATGTCCGGACACAAACAAGATTAACCAACAGTTAGAATAATTGGAACTCACACAACTATTTAACACAAACATATGTACAATCACTGCATCAAATGTTGTGGATTCTGGCACGACAAACTACCCTTGAAGAACTGTAGGACTTACAGCAGTACGCTACATTCCTTCTCAGGTTGATAATCCAAGTGGAAGTCGTCCGGACACAAACAGAATTACCAACAGCTAGATGACAAATGATACCAATTCAGCATATACCATATCAACACATGTACAAAATCACACACCAATCACATTGGACTGCTCATTGATGCGCTACCCTTTGAAGAATTGTAGGACTTACAGCAGTACGCCTACAACCCTTCTCAGGTTGACGCTCTAGGTTGGAAAATCGTCGCAGAGTTCATTTGCTGACTTCCTTCTATCAGCTATATCCTCAAATCTGAACGGTAACACGCCCATGTCATTGTATCGTAGAATATAGATGACGAACAAACACACGACATATCTGGTCAACCAAGCGTAGAAACAGAGTAATTTACACCAAAGATAATAGCATTCAAATAGTAACTTGGAACTAGAAATGCCTTTATTCATGCAAGTCAATTTAACAATTACCCTCTCGTTTACACTTGGCTTATCCTCACTAAACTGAGCAATATCTTTCGTCCTTTCAAATGCACCAATACTATCATAGTCATTGCAGAAGATACTTGAGTTGATGGGCGACTGTTTCATTGTGGATGACAACACCAACGATGACCGATTGATACCAGTTGATGAAGTTAGCGGTGTGTCAGAAGCTGTTGTTGCTCGACTTTCAGAAAGTTGTCTACCTGCAAGACCACCACCACTGCTGTCTTTTACTATCAGCTCAGGTTTAGCACTAGCATCTGATGATAGGTGGGCTACATGCTGATCAATCACACTGACGGTCTCACAAGTATGCATGCCTTCTGCAACTGCATCTGCATTTATTTCCACTTCACGTTCAAGTTGTACAGAACTTTTGTTCAACTCAGCAGTAGTAGGCACTCCCCTCATCTCATCATGATCAACCAAAGACAACTGTGAAGTATCATGATCATTATCACGAATATTCACTTTACCGTCAACTTCATCATTTTCAAACTCTTTAATAACAGAAGTAGACAATTTTGATTCCTCCTCGCAAATCCTAAAAGGTTTTATAGCTTCACTCTGACTAGTTATACCTTGTAAACTTGTGGAGTCAGAACTGCACTCTGAAGCAATAACTCTATTCTGTGACACTCTATTCAACAATGGCTTACCAGTTGCAACTACAGACTTCTTGACCACACCGTTATCGTCACACAATTCGGAGTCAGATCTTGATTTCACATTAAGCTCATCACTAAACTTGCTCACTGGTTCACAGTTCACCTTTGTATGCACCTCTTGCAAACGTGTAAAACACAACCGTGTTTGTCTTGCATCTTGTAACTTATCTGTTGAGGATGTACTACGAAACCTGTTACACTCACTAGGTCTATATGCATTACTAGACATCATGGAGCCTTCTCGATATCCACCTCTCTGAGGCCTATTCGTCATCAATGATTGCGTTTTACCCTCAGACTGCTGTATTCTAGGGGTGAGATTCAATATACTGGCAAACTTGCTCATCGATTGATTGACACTATCTTTTACTAGTTTCAGGATATCATCAAACTTTGGCTCGATACCCTCATCCTCCATACGGGAGCTTATCTTCACCCACTTCCTTTGCAGTCGAGTAGGTAGGCGTCTTGCTATTACTTCTAGTATAAAACTCGAGTTGAGGTCACTCATGCAATTCATCGAAATCAAGGTATTCTTATAAGTCATAAGATTATCTAAAAACTCAGTAAGTGCCTTGGAGTCATCTTGAAGTTGACTGCCGTTACCTTTGACAGCTTCGTATACGTTCCTTACAATCATTGAAGGTCTTCCAAACCTTTGACGTAATATGCTCATTGCCTCAGCGTATCCCTCATTAGGGGGCATGAGCTTACAGCACTGTATAGCTCTTGAAGCATCTCCAGTGCAATACCTCGTCAAATACATCAATTTCAATTCATCACTTAATAAAAAACTACTCAACATGATCTCAAACTCCTTTACAAATTGTAAATAATCAGCCGGGTTTCCATCGAAACACCGTGGTTCAAATTTAGGGAGTTTGATGTTCCTATTATCCCTGAACGGCGAAACAGTAACATCAACCATGTCATGCTTAACATCAGACACATCGTTACAATTAACAGACAAGTCACCATGACTTACTTTCCTGTTTGCATTCAAGACACTCTGTCCCTTCTTTGACCCAGGCATTGTTGAACTTGACCCAATTCCAAAAAGGTTCCAGATATTGCTTGTTCAAAGAGGACTTGACCGGCACCAGGAAAGATGAACGGTGACTATCCAAACTTTCACCAACTGTCTGAATCCGCCGGAATCTGTTTCAACCGTCAGAAACTGTCAGCCACGTCTCGTAAACCGTTAATGCCTAGCTCTTGCTACGCTCGGGCTCACGCTGTCGCTTGAAGTTTCTCAGAAACGCTTAGTAATAACGGACGAAAACACCAAAACACCAATTGTTGACTCGAGGATTCTTTATTGTTACACCAACATATAAATGACGTATGACTAAGGTTTCTGACGGTGTTTTACTCTTCTTTCTGAACAGCGACCGATGAGACGATGACTGTCGTATTGATGCCTCCGCGAAAATTGGGGAAGTTGGTTTTGAGCAAACAACCATGAATTGGTCGTTCAATCTTCAACTACATTGACAATATGCAAGTGAAAATCAACAAGTTGGCAGAAGAAGCATCAAAGATAGGTCTTCAAATAAACATAGAGAAAACAGTGGCAATGAAGATTCTTGGAATCATCAACAGAAAGCAATCAGGATAAATGGGAGGAACCTGAAAGAATCAACCTCCTTTAACTACCTACCTACATTGGAAGCATCGTTTCAACTACAGCTGAACTGACGAGGATATCAAAGTAAGAATTAGGAAAGCAAGACAAGCTTTCGTTTCTCTCAAGTATGTATGGAGATCAACAGCACTCATCACGAAAATGAAAATAAGATCCGGATTTTCAACTCAATGTGAAGTCAGAGCTACTTTACGGGTCAGAGACTTGGCGCGTCATGATAAGCACCTCAAACAAACTACAGACCCTCATCAACACCTGCCTTGCTCAATACTCAAGATCAGATAGCCAGGAGAAAAGATCAGCAACAGGGATCTCTGGCAATGAACGAACCAACCAGGAACCAATTATGCAACAAATAAGCAGGAAGAAATGAAGGTGGATTGGTAATACTCTGAGAAAACAAACCATCAAGTGACATCACCAAACAAGCCATCGCTCGGGTGAAACCCGAAGGAGAAGCGGCGAGTGATCGTCAGTGCAAGGGTGACTTGGAGGAGGTCATATGAAGAGGAGATGAAAGCGTCTGGGCAGACGTGAAGCCAGGTGAAAACCTTAGCAGGGAACCGAACGCTATGGAGACGTGCAGCCGAAGCCCTATGTTCATCTAGGAATTAAAGGAAATAATAATATAATAACTGGTCTTATTACTTCTACACCCTATTTTGAGATTCATACATTTCTTGAAATATTTCATAAAGTACATAAACCATTTATTTTTATTACAGATTTGCTCACGATTTGACATCAATTACAGAACCATTGGAAAGCCTGGGAGTAATGGACAGCTGTTCCCTCCATCCTGGTTTGTGACTCCTGATCAGTACACACTCACTGGTATTCGAAACCATTACTGACCGGTCACAAATAAAGATCGTAGGCCATCCAGTCACTGGGACCATGTCCAGTCACCCATGAATTCCAACTTTTCCAGCCATATATATATATATGTCAGCCTCGTCTCGTAAACCGTTAATGCCCAGCTCATGTTACGCTGGGACTCACGCTGTTCCTCGAAGCTACTCAGAAACGCTTAGTACGAACGGATGCAAAAACCAGAACCCAGTTTGGCGACTCGAGAATTATTTATTCTAACACTAACATATAGCCAACTTTACAACTAAGGTCTATGAACAAATATTACAATAATAAATCACAATATTACTTCTGACGGTTTTCCCCTGACTTCTTTCTGAACGGCGACCGATGAGACGATGAGTGGCTGATTGATGCTTCCGCGAAAATTGGGGAAGTTGGGTTTGATCCAACAACCATGAATTGATCGTTCAATCTTCAACTACATTGACAATATATGTAGTGCAACTGCCCACCACCGTCATAGTATTCTCTTACCAGACTTGGTGACGACTTTCCACTAGAACTTCAGGTAACTTCCTGCACAAAACCAGCCGCTTGTGACTATCAGAATAATTATCGAGCGTTAGTTTTCAGTGATTTGACTGGTTACAGGTAACGGCTGTGCAATCTCAAACTAGAACGGAGGAAACAGTTGTCCAGTACTCACAGGTTTCCCAGCGTTTCTCTAACTGACCTGTAGCCAATCAGATCCCTGCAAACCCACATACTTAATAAATATTTTTGTCACACCATGTACATAAGCTTGTACACCTTCATGATAAATGAGTGGAAAAGAGACCCTTGACCGAATCACTTATTTTGAATTCTCTATGTGTGCAAATCCATCAAACCCCTGTAAAGCCAATATCTCGTAAAATAATAAACAGAACAATCGGTTTACAACTGTTTGTTCTCTTCAATTTTTCTTTATTCAGAACTAAAAAGCAAGCATAGAGATAACGCAGTTATCAATAGCAGATGTTTAGACAAACAAAAACAAACAACATTAGGTTATCAGCAACTGTAACTATTCAGTGTTATATATGTGTGTGTGTGAAAGTGTCTGAATTTGGCTAATTTCTTTACAAATTTTGTTTAAATAGGTGTGCATCTTTTTGCGCATCAAAATCAAATTGGAATGTTTATTTACATAGAGTATCATAAATTTGTATGGATGTATGTATATTTTGTCTCATATTCTCTTCTCTATGTCAGTATAAGCATAAATCACGATCTAAGCTGTATGAATAATAAGCCAGTAAAAATATGTCTAAACCAAATATCTCATCTCACATCATTTCAGGCATAATTTGTACATTAGTGAAGAAAAACGCATGACTTTCCATTCAGTAATATTTGTCTTGTTGCTGTCTGTGTAGTGATTGATTTGTCTACTGCAATGGACAGGATTGCACTGATTAACAAGAGAATTAATCCAAACATGGCAGTTAACGGTGCCCAGCCTAAAACAGAAAAGGGAAAAAGAAATGAGGATAATTCGGAGGGAAACATATTGTAAAGGCAGATATTCGTCGATGACACTGGCTTGTAGTTGACCCGTATATCGTGAAATGGCAGAAGTTAGAATTCATGGGTTATTGGATAGGGTCCCAGTGGCTTTTAATAGTTTACGACAACGCCTTGTAACCGGAAAATCCTAGGTCTGAACTCCGGCTGAATAGTGTGAGTGCTGATAATAGTCTCAAACGAGGATGTGGGAAACAGCTGTCCAGTACTCTCAGCTGGTTTTCCAGTGGTTCTTTGAGGGATTTCAGCTCATAATAAAATCCTGTAACTAATTATATCCCAGCAAAGGAACACTTGGATATTGCGTAGCTATCTGACTAACTGACTGGTTTCAACATAGAAATGAGCACAGAAGTATAGCAGTTTGTAGTAATTATTTGTAATCGTAGTATTAGTATTTCGAGATGACCGAATTACAAGAATCCAAACAAAACACAGAGAGGGCGGAATTCAGGAATTTGTATTTAGCAGAATTCTAATGCAATTCATATATGAAACATATTAGCAATCAACAGTAAGTAATTAAACAATACAGAGATAGAAATTGTCAATCACCACACAGTTCGAGTTGCCACACTCCATGTAGCACATAAACGAAGGCGAAAAAATGCGAGAAAAGAGATTCCAAATGACAATTATAGGCAGAAATATGAGGTGAATCAATATTAACATGGAGAAACATTAGGATCTGATTTATATGCCGGATCACAAAGATTCAGTGCATCTCAGTCACTGAGAATGATTTTGAGTCAGCCATTGGTACTTAGAATCTCAAAGGACCTAGCAAGGTAGTCTACACCTGCCTAATTGGTTGGCTTAAACTAACTGTCAAGAATTTCATATACTGATGCGAGGTGTTGATTCGACCACCACTAGCATTTTTCCAGCTTCATCCTATGTCAGATAACAATGACCATCGAGGAAGACGGCACATGTCCTAACGATCTCAATCGATGTAGTTTGAAAACCTCATTGATTAACTCTCCCTCCTTACCTAACACTTGATACCCAACCTCAGTATTATTCACCTTATTGTATCACCTAAGGCGAGAGATAGAACACAGACACCTATGAACATAGACAGCTAGTCTTTTCATATCTTCCATAAAGGAAGACGCAGTGAACTTTTGAGTAGTACAATAGTAGTCCTTTGATCGATAGCCAACCGGATATCCCGTCTACGCTAGAGATAGCTCAAATTGGTGAATACCACACCAGCCTTTTGCATCCATGCTCACACTTAATCAGAGACAATAAAACTTCGTAACTTTACTACACCACTGGAGAACAAATTATCTTCGAATTCATGCTTTATGTATATGCGGATATTGTGTAATGATTGATAACATTGTCTAACAACTCGAATCTCGATAGGTGGAACGCCGTTTGAACCCTGACTTAGCAACGTTGAACTATGTAAGAAACATCACTAGTTGCATTTCATTATGGGTAAACTTTTGTTTTGATAAAGTCTCACAGTGTTATACAGTAATGTTTACTGATGACGTTGCTCGAAACATCATCAGTAAACATTGCTGTATAACACTGTGAGACTTTATCAAAACAAAAGTTTACCCATAATGGAATTATACTCTACCACAGTGCACAAGTTTTATTCTTATATCAATCACTAGTTGCAGTTATCGAATTTCGGGGAAGTACACATAAAGGAGAAATGTAATGAAATGTATTAAGTGGGAGAATATTTGATTGAGGAGTAGTTAAGACTTTCAGAATCTGGATGCAACATAACACAGAGTGAACAATTTCGTGTCAATGCGCACAGTTTTGAGTTATTTTACCAACAGTCTCTAACCACCGACTCTTTGGATTGATATTTACGACTTCGCAAAGTGAACAGTAACCTCATTGTTGAATGATATATCTGTGATGACCAAAACTTAATTCTTTTGATCTGAGCTCAGGAAACCGATTTTTGCATTCTACTGTATAGCTGACAAAACTATCTTGAAGCACACACACAGTCACAAAATGCTCCAAAATAGCGAAAAGGTGATTATTCGTTACTGGAAACCTATGTGGCTCTCTGACAGTAGAAAACGAGAGACTTGGTGAAGTAATGTTTATTCGGAAATTGGTATCTCTATATAGCTAAATTATGTACACCTTATCTTCAAGGCAACGTCTGCACAGATCTTCCATGTTGTGCTACTTTTGGCCTTTCTGCATATTGTGTTTTTTTGTGTTCCTTTCATGTCTTGCATGTATCTCCGCAAAGCTGTATCATTTGCTTTCTCTGACACCAAATTTATCTCCCTGTTATTTTATATTTTAATGCATATGAGCATCGCTTTATACATTACTGATAAACCTTATCAGTAACATCAAAAGTTCAAAATTACCTCAACAGTCAAGAGAAGGTTCTGAGTAAAAAAACACACACCGTAGAATAAAATCAGTTAACCGAAATTCAACTGTAAGAAGTACCTGAATTAGACTATTCTCGCCAAGTTGGGATCAAAACCTCTATCCATAAGAATTACACACCAACGCTACCACCCACGGATAATCTAAGGTCAGAATTACCTTGATTCACTCAAACAAAACCATATCGTAAAACAGCACATCGACAATGTATTGCAAAACCACTGTCGATATGTTGATGACACATTTGTAGAGTGCAACAATGTGAAAGTCAGGCTTCAAACTTACTCAGATTATTCAATGACACATATACCAATATCGAGTTTACTGTGGAACATGAAAGTGATGAAAAGTTCCGTTTCCTCGACTTTGCCATGCAACGCCTAGAAGACGGTAGTCTTTAGAAGTCAATTTGTTGAAAGCCTACTTGGAAAGGACAATACTTACATTTGAATAGTTTTGTCCAAGTAGATTTAAACGCAGACTAGTCAAGAGTCTGTATTATAGAGCCAGGAGAATATTCTCTATAAAGAAATCACAGGTAAAATTTATGTTTTTCTTCGGAAAGATTCTAGAAGGCAATGATTACCCTCAAAGATTCATTAACAAGTACTGAAGATCTGAAGTCTCAAATTTAAAACAAATCATAGTGGAGAAAAAGATAATCTACATTCAACTTGATTATCAAGGTGAAAACATTGCAGCAATGGTCAACAGAAGACTGAGTACGTTGCAAGCTAGAGCCTATCCTGCAGCTAAGCTTGTTCGCGTCTATCGAACAACCTTCTCTTTGATGCAATCAAAATGCTATAGAATTTTATGTCAATGTTGTAACTGGGCCTTCTGTTTTACTGAGAACGCAAAGAATGTAAAATAACATGTGACCTTCGGTAATATTTGTCACAGGACGTCGAAGGAGTTTATGGAGTAAGTTACCTCAAAGTACCGTATTTTAGTATTTTGGAATAAAAAAATAACAATAGCTTCAACACTGTTATTGACAGGTAACAGAAAGTCAGAGACTGGTGAAATCTTCGAAATTGTTCTCATTTATGAATTATCAATACAAGAAGCAGCGACCCGATTGAGAAAACTTCTAGTTGTATTTTACCCTGAACCACAATTAGTTACAGAACCACTGAGAATCAAGGATTATTAGATATTATTTTATCCTGCTTCATTATTTATTTTATTTTTACATTTCTGTACAAACTTTCTGACTTATTTATCAGGGTAATTATTAAGTTTCAAAGCTTCTCTTATATGCCTCGCTTGATGTCTTAGATTTTGCTTGGTACTGCTTGGTTTATATGCACTATTACTTAAACATTTCACTTATCCTATTTTTACTGACATAGGATGGGATGATAGGAAATCTAAATATCTGTTTGAATGTGTGGGTTTTCTGTAGACACTAGTGTTTAACCTCCCATCTTCTTTCCTTCTTACACTACAATCGTACATTATAAGTTCCCCTTCCAGACTTTCCACTTCATAAGTGAATTGAACTGCCTCCACCTTTGAGTTAATGTGCTCAAAAAATCAATCTATATCCTGTGTTCTAAGTACAGTGAATGTGTCATCTACATACCTTGTGGTGATTGACAATTTCTATCTCTGTATTGTTTAATTACTTACTGTTGATTGCTAATATGTTTCATATATGAATTGCATTAGAATTCCGTTAAATACAAATTCCTGAATTCCGCCCTCTCTGTGTTTTGTTTGGATTCTTGTAATTCGGTCATCTCGAAATACTAATACTACGATTACAATAAATTACTACAAATTGGCATCGCGATGGAACTAAATAACCTGGGAAAATTTCCTCTAATTGGTTCTCCGCAGGAGATTGCTGATTATTTGAATGCTTCGATGCGTGGTGCATTTCCAAGAATGTTCGGGATGACAAAATACCAGCACATTTCATCACTGCTATTGGGCTAGATGCGTATAGCCTAGTGAAGACTCTGTCGTTTCCAGATAAACCAATTTCTCTGCCATATTATAAACTCCGTGAACTTCTGATAGATCACTTCCATATAACTACTTTTGAGACGCGAGAGAGGGCTCCATTCAACAAACTGGTTCGTGCTCCCAACCAGAAGATTCGAGAATTCATTCTTCAACTTCAAATTCAAGCCTCAAAGTGTAATTTTGGAGATCAGCTGCATACACAACTACGTGATCGTCTAATTGCTGGAATCAATATTCCTAAGTTAGAGAAAGAGTTAATTCAGATTCCTTCTTGTACCTTTCAAACTGCTAAAGATTTATGTATTACATATGAAGATGTCAATAATGAATACTCTGCTCCCACTACGTCAGTATTTGATGTCATGCTTTCTAAAGTCGAAAATACAAGTGGTCATAGAAAGCAATCCAAACTGCCGTCCACAGGTAATAGAATGCAGCGAGAGATCAAAAACATTAAATCGTGTTTTTCCTGTGGAAATTTACATCTACGAAGCACTTGCCGTTTTCGGGGTGCTAAGTGTCACAAATGTGGTAAAGTTGGACACATCAAGACTGTTTGCAGAAGTTCGGATACTTATGTTACTCAGAATTCTTATAATTCTCCCAAGCTGTCTAGTAAAATGGAGTCTATGTGTCTTTCAACTTTTCAAAATACTCAATCTCATCCAATGAAAACTTCCAGTACAAGTTCAGCAACTCAAGCGTCAACTGTTTTCAAAAATCAGGTAGCTGAGTTACAATACGAACTGTCGAAAACACGAAAAAAACTGAATGGGATGAGAGAGCAACTGATTAAAATGGAGGAATTGCTGCATATGCATAGACTGCATCTGTTGAATGCAGAGCATACAAGTACCCGTGAAAGTCCTGCAAAACTTTTCAAATCTCGAATTCTCAAAAGCATCTGATGTCCACGGCTTCTAATGTACATTATTACAAAGGTAATGACTATAGACCTTCTGTTGGAATCATACTACAAAAAATGGGAAATCGAGTGGTGAAGATGTTAGACATAAAAGATCACTCAGTTCATAACGGACACCTGGACAAAGTGACAATAAATGAAGTAGGTCGTTCGAATTATAATATTAATAATTCCGCTACTAATCCTGATTTTGTAGATAATTCTGAAATAAGTCCAGATAACAGTGATGAAGATAATGTCACAGAATCAGTTAGAAGGTCGCAGCTACTTGCAAGCAAACCGAGACATCGTTATAAATACGCAAGGAGATATTCGACGTGTGGCTGATGTGGTGATTGACAATTTCTATCTCTGTATTGTTTAAATACTTACTGTTGATTGCTAATATGTTTCATATATGAATTGCATTAGAATTCCGCTAAATACAAATTCCTGAATTCCTCCCTCTCTGTGTTTTGTGTGGATTCTTGTAATTCGGTCATCTCGAAGTACTAATACTACGATTACAATAAATTACTACATACCTCCACCATACTTTTGGGGTGGAACTGAATGTTTCAATCGCTATGTTTTCCCACCTATCCATAAATACATCTGCCACAACCGGGGATACCGGTGACCGCATGGCAACTCCTTCAGTTTGTTTGTACACTTTCCCCTGAAATTTGAATACTGTGAAAGTCAGGCACAGCTACACTCACAGCATTATGTCCTCAAGTGGCACTTTCGTTCTAAGTTCAAGTTCTTGGTCGGAAATGAGTTCGTTTCTGACTACCTCTATAGCCATATTTATTGGTATACACCTGATATCTATGGTCAGCCTGCAAAATTTGGGCTACCGATATCCATGCTGAAAATTCCATACTTGTACCAAAAATACAGTGTGGAATCAAGCTGTAAATAAAAATAAAATATGTAAACTGACAATGTCAAAAGTAACCATTTTTTCTTCATCATCTAATTTTAAATTATCTAATCTGTGTTTTAGTTCATAAGAATTAGTTAGTCTAGATTTCGAGTGGCTTTTAAGGGGATTTAATACCATGGCTAAATATTTAGACAATTGATAAGTAGGTGAGTTTCTAAAATCAACTATAGGCCTAATAGGGTATCCTGACTTAGGAACTTTAACAACACCATACATTCTACTGGGGTTATTAGTTTTAGGCTTTAAATTAAACCACTTAGACTCACCTAGAAACGGCTTCATTCGGCGTATAAGGTCCGATGTGGATTTATTAAATTTATTCATAACTGTGTCTACTGACTCATTGATTTCCTCATATGGTCCTGTTTGTGAGTATTTACCTTATCCAAATAGTCTGACATGTCTAATACTACTGTTGCATTTCCTTTGTCCTTTGTGATTATGATATCCTTGTTATTCTTAAGGTGTTTAGGGCTTCTTTATCTGGTTTTGTAAGATTAGGATTTCTTCGTTTTCGTAGATTTAACATTAGTGCGAATTGTGCCCATAATTCGTTGGCGGTTCTTCTGTATATCCTACTTAGTGCTATTTCTATTTTTTGGATGAAAAACTCAGGTAACAGCATGTCTAATAAAACACTGAAATATAGTTCCTTTCCTAATACACTAATTTATGTAGGATTTAATATATGTGAAAAGTCGCTCAATTTACTTATATAAGTAGCATAGTGCGTGTAAGTATGCGATACAGTCAGATGGGTAAATATTGTAGCTGAGAAGGTGAAATACAAGATTTTGTGACATCATTCTTCTAAGAATGACGCGTTTCATGTTGAGATCGTATTTTCTCGTAATTTTCTAACATTTTTGCAAAATGGATATTTGTGGTAAGGTAGTTGGTTTGATTACAGGTAATGAGTGGATTTCCCGCCGTTTTTGAATTGCTTGTGCACATTTTTGCAAGCCGCCATGCATTAATGTTCATGGTGGCTCAAAAACAAGAAAATAGATTATTATTATTACTATTATTCGGTGATTCCCCTCTTACCTGCAACGAGATAGCTAATTTCACTTTGTACAAACCAATCACCATGTATAGAAGACAACGTGCTGTTAACACGGGCGTCAACTAGCCACACTATTGTGACATTAAATATCTTCGGTCCTCTGGTATCTGACTTCATGAAGAGATGATGAGACACGACACGTGGTAACCACTCCATATGTATATATATATATATATATATATATATATATATTAATCAGTTCCCTCATGGAAAAGTGTGACCAAATTAATCAGACTTCAGTGTGTTTCATTTCATTGTTGATTTTCATTTGTTTGTATCACTGGTTGAGGAATTTATGTCCATTTTCTCACATCGTGTTTCTTATGAGTGTTAAAGAAGACAAAAGTGAGCTGAGTAAGGTTGTTTTCCAACTAACTCGTCGGCTGTCACTCTCTGCCTCTCTCCAGTATTCAATATTATTGTAGTTCATAACAATTAGACTTAAAATATCTAAAAGGAATAAATTCTTTAAACAGTGCCATCGCCGGGCATCTCCTCAACACGGGTCATGTGGTGGACATTGCAAAATCGTTTAAAATTATCAATGAACAAAGGAGCTCAATTCTCCTCAAGTTTGCTGAAGCCATCTTTATCAAGCTCCTGAAAGCTGATTTATGCGTTCAGAAAGATACAGTTATTAGTCTTTCTTCACCCAGCCTGGTAACTGTATATTTTCATCTCTCTTTTATCTAAATACGTAATGCTGAAAGTTTCCATTGTGTATGATCACTGTTGCTCTGATTAGTGTTTAATATCATATATCTATATATATTATTACATGGGCCGTACAACTAGGCGTGTTTCTCATCGAATTTCCGAACATCACCTTACGTGGTTAAGCAAAAGACAAATTTCATCTTGTGGAGACAGAACACAAGATTGACGTTAACTATGCTTTCAGGGTCATTTACCGCACACCTACGAATCTCAGTTTTGCCTTAAGAGTTCGACTACTAAATATTGCTGAGGCTGAGGGGATCCATATTAACAAGCCTAATTTATGCTTCCAAAAGAAGTTAGTTCAGACATTATCATTACCTTGGCCATCCAGGTTTGAATAACCCTGAATTTTTGTGGAATTCTCCTAATTTTAGTTGATATTATATTTGCTGTTATATTATTATTATTATTATTATTTGAGCATCTTTAGTGAACCGTAAATGTATTGATCATACTTTACAAATCGATATTATTTAAAAAAACACTAGTATTGTTATTCACTACTAATCTAGAATATTCTATGTATATAAACATATATAAATAATTGTAGAGCCAGAAGAGGAAATTCTCGAGAAGGATATTCTTTGATCGATTATTTTGTGTATTATTACTGCATGAATACAGTGACTGATTGATTTTTGTTTAAAATGAACTCTGTGCAAGTATGTTAAAATCGATGAGTGCCAACTAGCACGAAACCTAGGTCCAAGCAGGGCTTCCTGCCTATTGCCTCCAAACTGCCTAATATTATCAAATCAATGTGCACCGTGATGGCGAGCTACCTAGGCATGGTTGCCACATTGCAAAGCCTGACTGATAGAATTCAGTCTACACCAATCAGAGGACTAGACGCATCACACTAGTTGCTAGTGTCGAATATCCACTAAAGTCCTACAGGAGGTCAATCGCGAGCCTGAATAGCTCAGTGTTAACGTCTCTGACTGCAGTACTCACTGGGTGACGCGGGTTCGAATCTCAGAAGGGACAAGACTTCCTTAATGGTTGTGGATACACCTGCTGACCGGTGAGTGCCAACTAACACGAAACCTAGATCCAAGGCTTCCTGTGGCCGATTGCCTTCAACTATCTAGTAGGTTAAAATTGTTTTTGTAGATGTATTTAATAATGACTGTGACCTGTAAGCAGCTGATGAGAAGGAAACGAAACAAACAATGATGGTGCCACTTTATTCAGCAAAAAACTGTAGTTCTCGCTTTATTCAAAGAAGCAGTAAACTTAGGGATTTAACAGGAACAGAGATGATACGAAAACGTCAGAACAGTGATATACAGGCTAGGAAAAAAACGGATAATAATTATAAAGTTGGTTGAAAAATCCAACTAAGGAAACAAATATTAAGATTGAATCTTTCAGCAGGGACTTTCTAAACAACTATTCGGTTACAATATCCTCCAACAAAATATTAGTCTTCTGTAGAGTAGCAATCTTAGAAACGATACCTTAATTCTTTTGGTTAGATCTAGAAATACCTTCAAACTGATTTAAACACGCTCGCACAGACGCAAAAAATTCACTCAGAAGTGATTTAACTTACCTATAGAACAATTTCCTTTTGAATAAGGTCCAACACTACCTCCGCATACTTCACGAATGGTCACTGAATCCCATCCTGCTGGCCACATGATGAAAGAGGCGAGAAGAATTAGATCTGTGTAAAGAGACAAAAACAATGACATTTACGATCACTAATATAAATGGTAGAATGACGCAATCTTAAAATACTTAGTCATTATTTTATGTACGTGATGACTAACAGACAGACGGAAACATGTGTACAGCCGGATTTCCATTTTTTCTCAACAAATGAGGACTGGTTAATATACCAAAATGAAAAGAGTTGTGAGCCTGAGTTATGTGACAACTGATTTCATCACTTGACAGATCATTTGAGACTCATACCTTCTTCATTTCGGTCACACACTTCAACGTTTAGAGTATGAGACTGACAAAGCAATCAAACGAAGATCCAAACTCTTTCATTAATTCCATATTAGTTTGTTTATTAGATATATCGCACAGTGAAACAGTATTATTTACTGGATGACGTTTCGAACAAAATTTATTGTTCACAATCATTTCATCAGTTATTGTTCATTATCATATTAATTGTTATGATTCGTGGATAGATGGGAATACTTGGCGATTAAAACGTTCAGTCCCATCCCAAAAGTATGGTGGAGGTATGCAGATGACAAATTCACCGTACTTAGAACACCGGAAGAAAATAGATTTTTCGAACACAATTACTAGAAGATGGAGGCAGTTCAATTCACTTATGAACTGGAAAGTCAGGTAGGGGAGCTTTCAATGTTAGATTGCAGCGTAAAATAGGAAAGAAGATGGGAGGTTAAACACTAGTGTTTACAGGAAACCCACACATTTAAACAGATATTTAGACCTCTAATCATCCCATCCTATGTCAGTAAAAATAGGATTAGTGAAATGTTTAAGTGACAGAGCACAAAAACTATGTAGTACCAAGGAAAATCGAAGACAGGAAGAGATACACATAAAAGAAGCCTTTAATCTTAGTAATTATCATGATAAATTAATCAGAAATTATGTAGGGAAATGTAAAAATAAAATAAATAATGATAGTAGCGATAGTGCTAATAATAATAGTAATATTAATGACGACATGCATGTCAAATATGCGCAAGACAACACCAACAATAAGGAATCTAAATCATCAGTAGTAATTCCATACAAGGAAGGAACCTCGGCAATCTTATGCAGAATTCATAACAAGGCAGAAATAAAAGTGGCTGGCATTCACACCACCCACAAACTCAATTAGAAACAAGCTTTGTCGGTTAAAGGAGCCTTTCCTGTGGAGCCTTTAAAACAAAAAAATTTAGTTTATCTAATACCCTACCTGAGATGAGTGGTAGGTCAAATACATAGGTCAAACTAGTAGAACAGGGGCAGTCAGACTAGCTGAACATAAAAACTTGGCAAAATCTAGATTGGTTGACCCAAATAAGATAAGAAATCTAGAGAATAGTTCAGCTATAGCACTACATGCAGTTACATACAACCATACAATAGGATGATGGGATAGGATGACAGTTTTGAAATCTAATGTCACAGGGTGGAAGGAGAGATTGATAACGGAAGCTTTGTTTATCAAATCAACTGCAGATACATGTAATAGGAATGATTCAACACCTGTCCACCCAGATATCTGGAAATTCTACTACCCGTACGACGACAAATAGGAGAGAACAAAGAAAACTATAAAACTCAAGTTTCGAAGTTGTGTGATTACAAGTGATATGATTATGAACAGTATAAATTTTGTTTGAAACGACAAACAGTAAATAATACTGTCCTTCAATCATTCATTAAGTAGTTTTACATTAGTAGCTAAATACAGAGGAACACAACTCCCCTGTCTATCACCTTAACAGAAATAAACCTTTAAAAAAGTACTGGCGAAAGATGTAGTGGAATAATTAGCCGGAAAATTCAACCTGAACAGTCTATGTACAATAATAATGTTAATTGAAATATTGTGTAATTATTACGCCTCTGTTCTTTGGCTTGTGTATCACCGTTACAAGATGTACATATGTTGTATTCATTTAAACGTTACTGTTGGCCTTTGTTAGTGATTGATTCTGTTCTTAATGTTCCCTTTACTATTCAGTTAGGGTGGAATAGTGATGATGAACGGAATGCAAAAGATTTGAGTAAATTAGGTTAAGTAATTCTATCAAAGAAGCCGTGGTATACATAATAAGACGTTCAGAAAAATTTTGTTTTGATATTTTGAACACTTTGGGATTAATACAAGTGATTTCATAGTGAATGAATATAGTACTTATAACTGAAAGCAGTAGCTAAAAACATAAAGTTGAAATTTTAAACTATCTTATTTAGAAGAAATGTTACACATACATTGACCATATGCATTGGGAGGATTCATCGACCTCTGCAAGTAAGGACTGGTTTCAGAGCATATTCGTAAATGGCTTCAGAAGCAAATAGAATCCACAGAACCCACTAAAGTCCATGGAAGCCCTAGCTGGCAATTAGAAAGTTTAAACCACCTTTATGCGCTCAAAGCAACAATTCGTCATCACAATGAATCTTCTTTTAGTAAGCTTTGTTCTGATATCAGAGTAGATGTACTATTACCTCTGTTATTTGGGTTAGTGACCTTCATTGTTATTTTGGCCTTCAATACGTAATTTTAATTTGACCAAAGTCTCTTTTCTCACTTTTTAAATCTTTATTAATTTCATATATTTTCCTATGACAAGTCCATGTGTGATCAGATTGTTCGAAATGTGTTGCACAAATTCTACATTACACGATTCGGACAAATTACGTCTTCTTATTGCTTTTTACAATTTCATAAAAAGAACTACTAATTTTCTTTAAAACTATTAACATGAATTAGTTCAATACATATTTTTACACCTTCAAACAATCTAGGCAGCATGAACTAGTTTAATTCCAAAAATGATTAAATAATGCGCCTGTCACAGTCGTTTATCTTATCACAAGTTTAATTATACTTTTACACAAATAATAAATGTGAATTTTAAGTGTATTAAATTAGGATATTTTAACTTTGCTACCACGTAGATCAATTTATTAGGCGAAAAAGTTAAATTCTGACCAACAAATGTTTCATTTAAGTGTATTAAAACGAATTCATAAATAACTTATTTAGTACATTCAGTATTCAATGGCATATCTGTGGTTAATTATATTATGATTTACAGATAATATTTTTGCAGGGATTTCATTGGTTTCAAGTTGCCTGTTATACCACCAAGAAGTTGTGACTAGTAGGAATGACCAAGGCTACTATGAAGACAAATACTCGCTGGAAATACTGACAGAAGTTAGGATTCATGATCCACTGGAATCCTTCGTAATGGCTAAACCTGAATGTCCTAGATTTCATCCACAGAGATGAGGTCATGGGCACGTGCTGTTGAGGAGTCCAGAAATAGGATGAAACAAATGTTCAGTATTCCCATGTTTTCGGTGGTTCCCTAACTGATGTCAACCTCTAATCTAACTACAAAAAGTTACCACTTCCCTCTTTGTAACAGTATGGTGTATTCTACCTAGATGAATGTGCTTAAGCAGTATCAGGTGTAACGTTTTCGACAGAAACTATAGTAGCCAATGATTCATTGCTGGGTAAAACACTAGCTAAATAATGTACAATTTCCTATTTGAATGAATTCATAGATCGATGACATGTTTGGATCTGACTACTTCTAACTGTTTTTTTTTCAACCTAATCCTTATTTATCAAGTGTTGGTTTGCAGAGGTTTGATTGATCAGGAGATGATATCAGTTACAGAACCATTGAACAGCCATTTCTTCCTAGTTTGGGACTCTTCATCAGCTCACATCCATATTTAATAAACACGGCTGAATAAGTGAAATCCGACTGCAAATCGTTTTGCATTGTGAAGATTTATGAAGATTTTAGTCTTAAATAAAGCAAGAACGACAAATGTCTACCAGAAAATAATATGAACTCATCTTTTATCTTATTTCGATGATTCTCCTCAACTGACTACATACAACCTGAACAACAATACTAAAAATATAAACTTCATTAAAGATTTGAACACACTGTTTTTCCATGATGACAAAGTGTAATTGGTAGGAACTAAGAATAACATTAGTCGGGAAATATGTAAGTAAGTAAGTAAGTAAGTGGGGTGCAGCAGGTCGAGTGTAATGACAAATACTCGCCGAAGACATTTGCTAATGTTCGTGCTATGTCGTGAATTGGCGGAAGTAGGAATTCATGCACCACCATTGGATTTAGTCCCAGTGGCTTAATGGTCTATAAGCCCACTAGCCTTGTAACCAGGAGGCCCTGGGTTTGAACGCCTCTGGTGGGTGCTTACTGATGAGGAGTCCCAAACTAGGACGAAGGAAATAGTTATCCAGTACTCCCTGAAGGTTTTCCAGTGGTTCTCTAACCGATGTCAGCTCATGATGAAATCCTGTAACCAATTAATGGAATTTCTACAAACCAATACTTGAAAATTATAAAGAGCTAGAAAGATGGACTATTTACAGGATAATTAGACGACTAAGCTTGGATACAAAAGGATAAAGTTCAACAGATTTTTGGATAAAACTAAATTTCAACTAGAAAGAGTATAACAACATTATAGGTTGCGCAAATAGAAAGAGTATCTTCGTATTAAATAGAAAAAGAAAGCAGTAGTGTGAGTTATGTTCTAAACAGTAAAGAAGATAAAGACCAATGCATGACATAATAAAATTGAATGTCTTGTTATGTAAGTTTAATCACCTCTATCTCTTTCTGAGCACACAGATTTGGTTTTACTGGATAGCAAAACGTAGTAAACTAGATTTCTTTTGCCTGTTGATTATGCTGAACGCCTTCAGATTATTCATTTTATGAGTAGTGTCCGATAGATGACACACAATCTCATTGTTTCATGCCTGTGAGTCCTTTAGTCTTAGGTTCTTTGGCAAGTCTTCAAAAATGCTAACAATAACGCTTCTCCCTGTTCTTCGAGTGTATTTGCTTTGGTACATACGAGTAAACTGGTAAATGCAGTTGGAGATAACATAAAGTGGGAGTTTTTCCACTTCTGGCGGTTGTAAACAACCGGTCGTTTGATAGAAATATACAA